AGCTAGGCGTTTATGCTTAGAGGTAATATACTGAATTATGAACGTCTCTGGATAAAATAAAATAGGAATGGTAGGGGCCATGTGAGAGGCATGCTTTCATTTTAAAGGTTAAAGAAAAGGATGTAAAATATGTATTAATCTGGGCACTAGCAGTAGCTTTCTTTTCACTATCTGAGGAGTCACTTATCTAACAAATATTCTTTGACTGCCTATTATGTGCCTGGCTGTGTTTACCTACCATGCGAAAGGAACTACCTCCTTTTTATGCTTGAATACTTTCCTTTTCCACAGACATTTCCACTGGGCCTGGGAGATGGGCCATTCTATGCATGGACAGATGGTTTGAGAAGAAAGGACTGGCATGACTATGAAAGCATTCAGAAAGAGGCTATGCGCTCAGGTATGAAGTTCAGTGTAAGCCGAAGTACTACTTTACTCACTGCAGCGTCTCATTTGTCACTTAAAGGATCTCTAATGAGCATTTGTTCTGCGCACAGTAGTATGTCTCATAGGGATGTTGGAGCTCAAACCGGACAGGACCAAAACAACTTCAAATTTCAGACAGCAAAGAAATAACGAATAGCCCTGCCAATATCAGCTGCAGCAGAGGTCGTTAAAATTCTAGGAACCTATACTATTTTATATTTCCAAACTGCTTTTTAATAATTTCTGGGGTTATCTTGGGATTTATCGATGAGACTTGACCTGGTGGATATATATATCATGAGCGATTATCACTCATTAGGGCTGAAGCGTATCTAACCAACAAGGAAAAGTATCTAACTTCTGCCGTAATTTCTAGACGTTGGGGCGGGGGGAGCGCATGGGGCACAGCAAGTCAGTGGGTCCCAGCAGCTGGGGACCTGGGGTTGGAACACTTGGATAAACAAACCGGCACTCCGATGAAATCGAGGTCTGTACGTGTTCGCAGAATTCTAGTCCTGGGCTAGAGTTATGGGGCAAAGTAACAGGAAAGAATAAGGCCTTCTAGAAGGACTGAAAAATTAGGTTTTTGGAAACAAGGATTCTGAAGGGTATCTAAGTAGAAATCCAGTAAAAGCGAATGAAAAATGACAGGAAGCCCATATTCCTTCATTTGGCCAAAAGAGCTCTGTTTTTCATAATGAGGACGCCGCAGAAATAGACCAGCTGCTGTTTGGTAGACAGCCGGGCGGCACCGATTCACTGCATTCCAGGTGAAATCAGCAGAACTGTGCCTGGCCACAGCGTGAGGGCCCCCTGGTCAGCCTTCCTCTTAGCTCATCCCCGCAGGATGACTGGGGTGAGAGTGTTTAAATAGTTATGAAATTGTCCTGGGCTGGGGAGTGTTCTTAGCTCTGCGTCAGGTGTGGCTGACTTTGTTATAGACTTCTTTCATTTTCTTCTTTCATTCCTTTGCTCCAAATAAAGCTCCCCTCACCCCGACTTCATTAAAGCAGCTTGTCCCAAAGATGTTCCTGCTTTGAGAGCAGCAACGTCTTCCAGGATTTATCAGGTTTCCGCCTTGGCCGTGACCCCATGAATGGTCCCAGAAGTGAGTTTCTTAGCAGCATTCTCACTTTTCTCATCCTGTTATCTTTTCCCTCTATTGGCTTGATCAGCTCCGGGATGCTGCAGTTTGTTGGAGATGTTCACCTAACCTTTCCAACTAAAGCTGCCACAAGTTAATTTTAATAAATCAAAAATGTATTGAATGGATGTTTTGCACTAGGTGCTATACATATGTATTTTATTTAAACCTCAGAACAACTCTAATAGATAGGCATTATTATCATTAATTTTTTAAAAAATGAGGCCCTAAGAATTTATTAACTTTTATCCAGGGTCAAATAGCTAATAATTTGCAGTGTTAGATTCAGAGCCAGGTCTTATCATGCCCCATTATATCCCTCTGTGTGACACTGAATAATAATCTTTGCACAATATCGAGTAGTGGCAAAGACACAACAGGAGGGAGACACACCTAGGTTCAAATCCTAACTTGTCCCTACGTGAGCTATGTATGTGGCAAATCAATTTATGTTTCTAATATTCCCCTTTGCAGAATTTCTATAAGAATTAAAGATAATATATATAAAGTAATTGGCTAATTATATGGACATATCATAAATTCAACTAATGATAACTGTAATTATCAATCCGTCTAATTTACTTTCACATGCACTGCTGGGCCTACACTTTGCTTGTACCAATGACTTATGAATGCAAAATCCAGTACTTCACATACATTTGTGATTCATACATTATTTCCACCTCCTGGATAACATGCCTTTTATATTTTCATCCTCACTTGGACCAAGAGAAAATTGATCTACAAAAGAAATTGGTAATATGACAAGTTTAACTTCAAATTCTTTGTGTAATTCAAAAGCTTCTAAATGGTAGAATGTTATATGATTCACTGGAAGATATATGATGCATACAATAGACTAGAATTTATTATTTTTATGTTGTGAAATATCATAGATAAAAGTGTATGGAAACATAAATGTGCGTGTACACACACACACACACACACACACACACACACACAGAGGTAGAGTCAAAACAAACACCTGTGTACTCCATATCTAGGCCAAAAGAAAGGATCGTCTGTGCTGTTGTGCCACTTCAAAGACTTGAATTTTGTGTTTACTCTCTGACTTTTCTCTGTAGTTTTTACCACCTGTGTATTTATCCTCAAACAAATGCCATTACGTTTTGATTGTGTTTGAACATAACCTAAAATTTAATCTCATTGTATGACTTTTTCTTTCATTCAAAATTATTTTTAAGATTCATCCATGTCAGTGTGTGCGATGCTAGTTGGTCCATTTTCACCATTGTTCACTTTCCTATAACATTTTCCTCTTTGCGGACATTTGGGTAGTTTCCAGGTTTTAGTTGTCCTGTACAGTGATGCTGTAAGTATTCTCGGGCACGGTTCTGGGATAGCAACAGTATTTTCTTAGAGTACATACTTAATAGTGGATTTGTGTGTCTAGGAAATGCACATTTCAACTTTATTAGGTCATGACAAACTGTTTCCAAAGTTGATAGACCAGTTTCACTAC